CTGCTATGGTGTTTCCCTGTCCCGGACCCACGTTTTTGCAGCAGCCAGCAGGCAGCCAGTACTATATATACTAAGACTTTCTAGGATGTATAGTCTAGGATTCTCTAGGATTCTCTAGGATTTCAGAAGACACGTTAGGCACTTTTTTGTTGCAATTTTGTGCCATTTTTGGCACGAAATTAGGTGGTGTTTTGCTGTTTCGAGTGAGTTTCGAACAAGATGTCTGGCTGTTGGTTTCTAGCCTTGGAGGCTGGTTGATGGCACGGCAGGAGCAGCAGCAGCGCAGGAACAACAAGAGCAGCAGCAGCAGCCAGGAGCAGCAGCAGCGCAGGAACAGCAAGAGCAGCAGCAGCAGCAGCAGCAGCAGCAGCAGCAGCAGCACCAGCGGACGACAGCACCAGCAGCGGCAGCTGCAGCTGCAGCTGCAGCTGCAGCTGCCTCCGTCCTTCACTGCTATGGTGTTTCCCTGTCCCGGACCCACGTTTTTGCAGCAGCCAGCAGGCAGCCAGTACTATATATATATATATATATAGCCTAAGATTTTCTAGGATGTATAGTCTAGGATTCTCTAGGATTCTCTAGGATTTCAGAAGACACGTTAGGCACTTTTTCGCTGCGATTTTGTGCCATTTTTGGCACGAAATTAGGTGGTGTTTTGCTTTTTCGAGTGAGTTTCGAAAAAGATGTCTGGCTGTTGGTTTCTAGCCTTGGAGGCTGGTTGATGGCACGGCAGGAGCAGCAGCAGCGCAGGAACAGCAAAAGCAGCAGCAGCAGCAGCATCAGCGGACGACAGCACCAGCAGCGGCAGCTACAGCTGCAGCTGCCTCCGTCCTTCACTGCGATTTTGCGCCATTTTTAGCACGAAATTCGATGGTGTTTTGCTGTTTGGTTTCTCGCCTTGATGGCACGGCAGGAGCAGCAGCAGCGCAGGAACAGCAAGAGCAGCAGCAGCAGCGGCAGCATCAGCGGACGACAGCACCAGCAGCAGCAGCTGCAGCTGCCTCCGTCCTTCACTGCTATGGTGGTTCCCTGTCCGGGACCCACGTTTTTGCAGCAGCCAGCAGGCAGCCAGTACTATATATAGTCTAAGATTTTCTAGGATGTATAGTCTAGGATTCTCTAGGATTCGCTAGGATTTCAGAAGACACGTTAGCAGCTGCCTCCGTCCTTCACTGCTATGGTGTTTCCCTGTCCGGGACCCACGTTTTTTGCAGCAGCCAGCAGGCAGCCAGTACTATATATAGTTTAAGCCGGAGCAGCAGAACAACAGCAACAGAAGAAGAAGGAGGAGAAGAATAATTCAAATTCAAACATGACAACTTACTTTGGGCCGGCACTGGTCCACTGATATGTTTTACAATATCGTCCTGTGTCATTTCTGTGCTTCGATTGTATTCGTCCGTGTGATTTTGTTGATGTCACCTTCGTGTTGCAAGCCGGACAATAGTGGGTGTACTGCCGACACACTGCACCATTCTTGACACGAAAGCGTCGTCCGCAATGTCCTTGTGTTAGCACCTCTCCAGTAATTATTGTGGATTTTGTAGCTTTGCCGCAGGCTGGACAAACATACGCTCGTAATGTGGTCTTTGTTACTTCTTGACATTCTTTCGTGTCCTCTTTTGTCTGTGAAACGGGGGTTCCCGTGGTGTCACTGGCTTGCCTTTTTTGGCTGCCTCGGTTTCTTGCAATCGCTTCCCAGGTGTCACGTAGAATCTGCACGTGGCGGGCTCTTTTGCGAAGAGGTTCCAGTCGCGCCGTGGCGGACGTGGCAGCACGCTTGCGGATAGCATCCTGCACAATGGCGGTACGGCATGTGTTGCACATCTGAGTTCCGTTTTCCCCAGAGGGCCGCTTGGAGATAAAAATGGAAAATTGCTGCTGGGGCTTCCGTTGTTGACAGGCCGCGCACGTCCAAGAACCACGAGTTTTGGCTTGGCATTGCAAGCAAACTCTTCGTTTTGATTCCCTAGCTTTCCATGCTGCGGTACCGAAATATTCCTGCGTTTGTTTTGTTTTGCAAATAAAACATTGCTTGACTGCATCACAGGTGAAGCATACTCGGTACATGCTCCACCGTGGATTTCGATGCTTGCTTGCAAAGTGACAAGCAGCGTGCCATAGGCCGCACTGCGTGCAACGATATGGTGTGCCTGCCTCGCGCTTCTGCGCGGTGCATTCTTTGCAGACCCGATAGGTCTCCTGTTTCCACTGCGCTTTGGTGAAGGCGTCTTTGCGCTTCATCTCCCCACACTCTTGACAGAGCCTTTCGTCCAAGTACTTCTTGCGCAACGCATCCCAATCCACCGGCTCCTGCTTCCACACATCAAGCAGAAGTTGCCGTCCCAGTGGAAGGCCTTCTTGAAAAGGCGCCAGCGGGAACGGTCGGTAGATCAAGATCTTCTGCCGTGTGCGGCTCCGCGTCATCCCAATGTACGCCGCTATTGGGTCAGCACCGACCATGTCAACGATCACGCCCGGCTCTATTGTGCTTCCTTGT